CAACGTCAACGACAACGACAACGACAACGACAACGACAGCAGCAGCAGCAGCAGCGGCAGCGGCAGCAGCAGCAGCAGCAGCAGCAGCAGCAGCAGCAGCAGCAGCAGCAGCAGCAGCAGCAGCAACCACAACCACACGACGACAACGACCACCACAACCACAACAGCAACAACAACCACCACAACGGCAACGACAACGACAACGACAGCAACAGCAGCAACAGTAGCAATCAGCACGCAAGAGTAACGAGCACCACTTCTAGCAAGAGCTGAATCGGACACAATGACAATGACAAAGTGGTCGTGCTACTAAAGGTAGTGCTAGGGTGTGATCGAGATATTGGGAAGAGCAGTACGTAGTCTTCAGTTATGGTGATGACGACCATGAACAGTGTCGTAGCAATGAGAATGGAGACAACAGCAACAATCAGCAAGTGCTGCCTTCTCATACAACAGGTCCGGGTCGTGTCTAACAAAGGAGGGGTTGCTGCTATTCCGGGTGTTGTCTTTTGATAAGAAAGCACGGACAAGATCTGCCCTGTGCGGTGATTGTCCCTAAGCCAAAGCCATATACTTCTTTTGTGGAGGCCTTCGTTTAAAGAGAAGCCCGTGGAAGCTGCAAAATGGTTCTGCTGGAATAAGGACTCCTCTTGCAAAGCTTTTTCCGACACCTAGATTTTCTGTGTCTTCGCACTCGCAGCCTCCCAAAAACAGTTTTCGAAAACGAGGATTTTCTTTCAAGTCTTGTAGAAAACAAACACGGTCTCGCGCCCGATATGTTGTGTTGACATCAAGCAGAGGATCCAGTCTTAGTAGACGAGGATCCAGCTTCTTTTCCCCCTTGCATTGTTCTGACCTCATCTCTTTCGGAAGCCCACAATCCTCCCTTGCAACCCGAGCTTGCCCAGTTTGGGAACACCCCTTTCCTTTGCGTTTGCCGGATACTAGTGTCTGCTTCTGCCAGCAACTGCAGCAATGTCTCAGGTGAGATGCCAACAGAACAGTGCTGCTATTGTAGTTGTCACTGTCATAGGAGTGGGGCTAGAACCATAGTGGTAACAGCTACAGCTCTAGTAAGTTGTAACAGTGAGAGTGAGAGTGATCGTGATTTTAGTAGTGACAGGAAGGAGATCACGCGTCGGAGCATCAAGTAATAAGTAGTCATGGATGCTCTCCTAGCAGACAGTCAGTGTCGCAGTGCTACATATGACAATAGTGGTTGTGATGGCGTGACCAGGAATCATAAAAGAAAGGTCGAATAATAGTGGGGTAGCAATCGCAATGGACAAATGAAGCCGTCACTGTACTCTGGTGCACATCATCGACATCATAGCAGCAAGCAGCACAACCCTTTGCAAACTTAAGTGCCCAACTCTCCGACGTTACAACCTCCCTGAAACGAGGACGAGTGCGACCCTGCTGTTCGGGCGCAAGATCGAGGATCCTAGTTGATTCGAAGCTGTGTGGGGTCGGAGAGTGCCGGGTATAGTACAGTATAGTAGAATCCAGTCCAGTCCAGTATGTTTTAGCATAGCACAGTACAGCATACTACGCTACATTATGCACACTAGACTGTAGTACACTACGATAGTCCACTCCGGTGCGACAGAAGCCTTTCCTAGTGGCCCTAGCGTCGAGCAGGATGTGTGCACCTTCGAGGGCTCACTCGGTGCCGTGGCAGCATAATTACTTGTAGATGTATATATGATCACGGTTCTCGGTTCACCGACCCCCCCTCCATGTGTTTTGGTATTCCCCCCCAGGCCCGGTTCCGGACAGCCCAAATCCTGGTGACTGTGTGCACTTCTTCCATTTGGCGGCTCCAAAACCGTCAACTGTCGCGAGCCTTTCCTCGCAAACACACCCGATCCTTGTGACAGTGCACACTTTCCAACCGCGACTCCGACATCAGGATTTAAAAACTGAAACAGTCACGTGGATCGCGTTCCTGACAGGCCTCGTTCCCGTGACAGTTGACCAGTAAAGGAACCGGATGAGCACAAATCCCTGTGACTGTGCGCACTCCTTAAACATGGCGGCTGCAAATCCGTTAACTGTCGGCGCAGAATGATGATGGATGATGAGGATGATTAGCATGATGGTGAGGCATACCAAACTGCACCGCACCATGTGCATGATGATGAGGCATACCCCGAACTACACACCGCAGCCCAAAGCAGACCCAAACCCGAGCCATACCACACCACAGAGGGGAGGGGAGCCACACCAAGTAGACCCGAACCCCGGACCATTGATGATGATGATGATGATGATGGTGTTGATGATGATGACGATGATGATGATGGCGATGATGATGATGATGATGGTGATGACGATGATGATGGCGATAGTGACGAGGACGTGACGATAGTGAGACGACGATGATGCTGATGATGAAATGTTGTTGTTGATGATGGTGATGCTGATGATGATGATTATTATCATATATGGTAAGGCGTCTGGCTTTCCCCCTCCAATTGTATGGTGCTGCTGGGGGGTGGCCAGGGGCCGTGGCGAGGGCCGAGATCTTAGGCAAGCTCCACGCAAGCCACCCTGTAACGTAGCTGCGTGCTCCTGTTCCTATTAACCCTGACCTGTACTGTAAACCCTACACCCAACCCTAAACCCTGCTTAAATGCAGGCTCTTCTAAAGCAGAACATATACCGTCAACCCCAACCAACCTACACCTCAAACCCTCCCTACGCCCTTGTCGACTCGAAGCCTTGTACCTTATAAGCCTAAACCCTAAACCCCAAACTCAAATGCTTAAGCAAACCCTAAACCCCTGCATCCCACAACCACCCCACAAGGGGAACGGGGATCCCACATCCCACCACGGGGGGGGGGGGCTGCCATGGAAGGGGGCTGCAGAGCGCGTGACCTTTTTTTTGGAGGTGTTTCAGGAGTTGGCCTGGGACACGGAAGGTCATGTGTGATTCCGTTCAGACGACTTGCGATTCAGCAGCCCTGAGCTTTGAATGAGAGAGCATCCGAGCAGCCCAGGCTACATCTTCCGAATGGCGCAGGAGGGTGAGTTCGACTGGGAGAGCATGCAGGCCTGACATCGCCAGCTTCGTTTTGAGAGCATAGCCTACTCAAAGACACTCTTGGACCGTGTCTTCTGTGGTGTCTGACCAGGAAGAGAACTACTGGTCTTCCGCCATCTGGGTGTGGTCCTTTGTGGCGCCTTGGCAAGAGCAAAGTCCCGATCATAGAGGGCAGGAAAAGCGGAGATGTCAGACCTGGAGTTTTGAACTCTGATCATCCTCTGATAGGTTTTTGTGAACATGCTGCTGATCAACTTGCTGATCGCCATCATCTTGGACACCTACAAGGACGCAGATCTCAGATCTGATGCTGCAGCCACAGTGCCATGGTATCCTCCACACCAACCACGTCTTGAGACCATCACAGGGTAGGGATGCTTTCAGTCTGTGATGCTTCTGTTCGTAGAAAGATAGACAGATAGACAGATAGACTGATGGACAGATAGACAGACAGATGGATAGGCGGAAAGAAAGATAGATAGGTGCATAAACAGAGACAGAATCGTAGATATGAAAAGCACTGGGTCTATCACTTAATGAGGATCATAGCACACCTGAGTCGCCAGCCTAGTTGCCTCAGCAAGTCTCAGCAACTGTCGAACCCAGGCCGCAGGATGTTGCAAGGAGCGAGATCTCTTGAGCTAGGGACCTCACTAGTGGTCACTAGTGCTGGTCTGTAAGCCGTCCTCTGCAGGAAGTGCAGCGGAACCAAGACTCCAAGGAGGCTGTGCCGGGCCCAGCGAAGACATGCTCGGAGATTGAGAGTAATATCTGTGCTTGCCATGCTGTGGACATCTTAACAGCCCTATTGGCATGATAACAAATGTGCACATATGTTTAAACTTGTTTATCTATCTAACTGTCTATCTGTCTATCTATCTACCTATCTATCTATCTATCTATCTATCTATCTATCTATCTATCTATCTATCTATCTATCTCTCTATCTGCCTATCTACCTATCTATCTATCTATCTATCTATCTATCTATCTGCCTATCTACCTATCTACCTATCTACCTATCTACCTATCTACCTATCTACCTATCTACCTATCTACCTATCTATCTGTCTATCTCTCTATCTCTCTATCTGTCTATCTGTCTGTCTGTCTGCCTGCCTGGCTGTCTGTCTGTCTGGCTGGCTGGCTGTCTGTCTCTGTCTGTCTCTGTCTGTCTCTGTCTGTCTCTGTCTGTCTCTCTGTCTGTCTCTCTGTCTGTCTCTCTGTCTGTCTCTCTGTCTGTCTCTCTGTCTGTCTCTCTGTCTGTCTCTTTGTCTGTCTCTTTGTCTATCTCTCTGTCTCTGTCT